AGACAAGTGAAACAAGTTTCAAGTCATCGTAGAATAAGTGGCTGGATTTTACCAGGCTAGTTTTTTTTTTTTTTGTGCACACTGCATCTTTTTGTATCAGATATCAGAACAGGGAGAAAAAGGAAATATTTGCTCATGACATAGAAGTGCAACGTCATGATGTGGTGTGGGAGCTAAGTCACTTAGAGCCCTTCAAAACACTTAACTGTACTATGATATACCGTAAATAATAGTTGTAGACTGCAATGATTCAATTATGAATTGTAGACTGCATTGTAAGTAAATGATAATTATTAAATTATTTACAATTTCTTCTATATTGCATAGTAGCTGCTTTAAATGGTGCTCAATACTTAAAATCTTACTTATAAATTAATTATATAACAATTAATAATATAAAACAGCAACATAATTATCAGAATACCTTAGTTTTCTCAAAAGGGCATCATTGCTTTTTTTGAAATTGACATTTTCAGCAGTGTAACAGTAAACTGAAAAGATGGGTATGGTCACATGTCCTGTACTATCAGCATCACTCTTGAACAGCTTTCAACTGGCACTTGGAGCTCTCAACGCACTGAAGTGCTGCTGCTTGTCCCAGTTGGTGAAGCTCGCATCTAACCGATGCAAGCTTTGCTGCTCAGTTAGATGAAATGACAACATTTCCTAAAAAGTGTTGAATATTTTTGTCAAACAAAGCACGGACGACTAAGTTGTAAATGTTCGGAAATTATATTATTTCAAAAAAACAAATTTTTAAATAGGAAAAACAATTACTTAAAATAAAGGGGTAACATATGTTAGATGGGTGAGAGTAACCCAGGTAATTTAATAAAGGCCAACCACAAGGTTTGAAATAAGGATACATCACAGCAAAAAAAAAAAGCTTTAAAGCAACAGAATAAATTTTTTAAAAAGGCTTTGCAGCACACATTCTACCAGGATTCTCTGATGAACATCCTGCTATTTTTAAAATTTTAGAAGTTATTTAAAGCCTCATAACAATTTTGCTATTCGAATGCACCGTGAACCAGACAAATCTAATTATACCAACTGTACATGAAGTAATGTCTACCACAGAGGTCAAAAAGTGCAATTCAGGATCAGATTTTCCAGCATCCACCCATACAGCATCAAACAGATGGAACAATATGAGTTGGGTGCGAAAATGTGAACCAAGTGTTACCCTGGGCACAGTGTTGGATAAAAGCAGTCTGAGTTTAAACCCAACAGTCCTGCTACAAGGCAGTCAGGCCTAAAAGTTGCAGGGTCAGACTCCAGGTTTTTTCATTTTCTGCTGCTGTTTTTGTCACCCCAACACCACCCCTTCCTTCTCTTACATTCAGCTTCCTCCTCCTCTGCCCCAGAGCTTTGCCCCATCTCTGGACCTCCCTGTTCTGGCATAACTCCATCGTGGCCTTAGTCATCACCCCCGGTTACCCCTCGCAGCCCCTCACACACATATATACACAGTTTCCCACACACAGCGCAAATTTCACACATGCAGATGCTATCTCTTGCCCCAATACTGGGGGTCCCCCTCTCAGCCTGAGGAAAATGGCCGTCACGGAACCCCGCTATTGGGAGGCCTCCCCTCAACCAAAACCTAAGAGCAAGGAGCAAGAGAAAGTGCACAAATCTATTACTGCTGCAACGCTAGCTGATGGAGGGAACAGGGGAAGAGAGAGGGGGAGCGGGAAGGATGAGGGTTGTTGAACAGGGGGGACTGCGGTGTGAGCATCTACCCACAGAACACTCTTGGACATGTGGAGTCAATTAGGAACAATCTTGTTTTCTCCCGACCGCTGCAAAAGAAGGGAGGGTTTTTCTTGGGGTGTGTGTGTGCGTGTGTGAGTGTGTGTGAGTGGACTTAGAAAAGTGTGTGGTAGGAAAGGAAGTTGAGGGAACATGTTTTTCTGAAAACCTGCCAGAGAAATAGGCCGGATATTTGGTTTTGTATCAAGCCATTTTATGCACAAAGAGTTTGTATCTCAGCATGCCTGCATGCTGTTCATCCCTAAATGATCAGCATTTAGGGATGCTGCTCATTTCAGTGTATAGAGACGTTTAAGTGTCTGGAGAAACTTGAACGGGATTTCACCCAGAGAGTCAGGCAAGTCACTGGAGAAAAAACATCAGTAAATGAATGATGGAGCAGGTCTCAGATGTGCACATGTAGGTGTGTGTTCAACAGCCTCCTACTTGTCACTGTCTGGTCCAGCTGGAAAAACCAGTTACCCTCACCCCACAAAAAAAAAAAAAAAAAAAAAAAAAAAAAAATCACAAGCCATTTCTTTACTGTCAAACAAGAGGAAGTCTTCTCTTTAAAAGATTAATTATCAGATCAATTATGTATCGCCTTTCAAACTGTCTTGTTTAAACAGTTTTCATTATTCACTCTTTCATGATAACGGATCCAAGGTGCTTCATGATGTGAGGTAAAAAAAAAAAAGTATCTAAACCACATTGGATTCATTTGAGCAAATTGCAAATATCTATCATAAAACAAAGGCCCTTTTGTTTCATGTAAGCATCAGGAGCAGTTGAAAAATTATCTTGGGGGTTGGAGTTAAAGCAGTCTTAAAGATTGGCAAACCTCAAACTTAACCAAAATTAGGAAGGATAGGTCTCCCTGAATTTAATCAAAACTGATATGCTGCGATAAAATGGCATCCTTTTTGTAGAATTAATGTGTGGCGCAATGAACAAACCTCAGCGGAAGAAGTACACCACATGATACCATCTCCATATTGACAGTAAAAGTCTGTAACCAAAGAAAACCACCTTAGGCTCTGTGGGAACTCAGAAGGGCAGATAGAGTGCATAAGCCACTAAAGAGATAAAAATGCTTTTCTGCAAACTGTATGAGTGTATTTGATGAAAAGCAAGTCCAAACTCACCTTCCACAACAACAATTGCCCAATTAAGCCTGTAAGAATTGACCACCACTGACCGTCTCATCTCCATCCCCCTGCAGGTTTTTCCCACAAAAACATTTAATGGCATTTGACAGTTTTGTTTTTCCTTTTCTGTTATCAATTTTAATACCAAAGATAACACGACTAAATACAAAATGTAGATTCTAAATGTTGAGTTCATTAAGGAAAATATCTATCTAAACCAAACTGACAACACAAAAAAAACATAATTTCTCTTATGGAATAATAGATTTGCTTATGTATTTTTAAAGTCTGGGGTCATTTTACTTAACCATTCCATTTTTGATTAATGCGAGATCTGTAAATTTAAGAAATAACTATGTGATAACATGAAGTAGTTTAAACATGTCATGCCCCATTAAAAAGAAATCAAAGGACAGATGGGAAACAAAGTCGTTAACATTCATCTGTTTAAAATTGGTTTTCAAGTCATTTTTAAAGCTTTTGAACTTCAGAGAACCACAGTGAGAGCCAGAAGCAGAGGTTGTGGTAGACTTTTTTACTGCCCGTCATTTTGACATATGGGGTCAAAACAATCCAGTTATAGTCGCCATGTGTCAATTTTAAAAATGATAATGAAAAACTCAATTTAATGTTCAGTTCCAACAAACTGAACAAAGAATACAAACTGTGCCACCACATTAAGCAGAGAAATACATTAAACTTTTTTCTCTGCAATGATAAAAATCACTGACTGTGGCCCCTGGAACTACATATAAACAATGAAATTAAATTATTACACTTATGAACCATTTACCTGCTGTAGTCTGAACGCACACAACTGCCTCCTGGTTCTCGTGAACCTGAAATTCTTACCCGCTTGTGCGTAACAAAATGTCTCAAGGGGACTTGCTGCGCAGGCTGTCGTCATAAGGTTTTGGACCTTTGCCTTGGACAGGCAACTTATCATGGGTGTTTTGATGTTGATCTGCCATGGAGACTGGAATTACGAGCCTCACTTCAAACAAAGTTCAGGCAAGATTTCTCCCATTGAAGAGATCAGAAGTCATCAAGTCTCTCTGAACAAGGGGTTTCCCAATTCTGCAAGACCTTGCTTTAGCAGGATGAAATTCAGCAGCATTTTATCCTGCTGCTGGATTTCAATGGCTTAAAAAGCTAGCTGAAGTACAATTGGATGTGGGAAAAGTCAAACTCTCGATTCAACTGACAGAGACGATGTGGCATGACCTTAAACTGGCCATTCCTGGTCAAAAACACTCCTGGCTTCACCCCATATAACAGGGAAGAGGGGGGGGGGACAGATTGCTCCACATCAATGTGTAAGGCTCCAGTTATTGCAAATGCTTGATGATATTTAGCACCAAATGTGGCACAGGCAGTAATTACTTTTTCACTAATGGCCAAGTTGGTTAGGCTAGATTTGTTTTCTTATGAAATGTTTTGAAAATAAGAAACTGAATTTTGATCATCTTTCCTCTTTGTTGGTGATTAGAAACATGCTGGTGCCCCCCTGGCAGATTTCTGAAATACTTTTTTCACAGCAGTGTAAATGATTTATAACTAAAAAAAAAAGGAGGGAGTACTGGTTGTTAATGTGGTGAGGTCTCTGCCTCCCACTGTGTACTTCACAGGAGTAAGTAAAATAATCCTGCTTACGCAAAACACTAACCAGAGAAAAAGCAGATAAAATGTGAGTTTAGAACCATTCACCCTAAGCTGTGTTGCTTTTATTAACCAGATGACAAATGAAAATGCAATTCAGTTTGGTATTTTTTTATAGTACCAATTAACTGAGATAACATAAAGGAAGCTTATTAGAGCTATAGTCAATGTGAGATTGACTATCATACTCAGTCAACATCAACAATCTAATTAACCAAATTTCTCAGACTCATATAAAAAGGCAAAAGGTTGCACTGGATCATATTTAAGGGTATCGGAATAGACAAGGCTTACTACAAAAGCACCCCACATGTCAAATATTTAGTTGCAAAAAATTGTCAGAAACATGTGTTAATTTCCATCCATATGATGACATGCAATAAAACACTTTTAAGAATGAATATTTCTGAAAGGCATAATGTTAACATGAGTTCTCACCAGCTGAACATAGGCCACTTTATAATCTGGCTTCTTAACCTTCTGGTTGAGGTGATTCCTCTTTTTGTTGGACCCTGAAAAAGACAGAGCAAAATAGTTTTTAAATTTTATTACCACACTACTTATCGATAACTGTGAGGAGTTTACAAAAAGAAAAAATTCTTCAGTGTATTTTTCACTTCAATAGTTTAAAATCACATGCTTTGAAATGTTTTGAGGAGAATGGATGTGTTTAATGTGGAAAACATGGAAATTAGGAAAAAAAAATCTAACGGATGCTCTCATACCTTTTTTTTCCCCAACGTATGGAGGTGAACAAAAGTGAATAAAATAATCAATAAAATTGAATCCAAGAAAAATGCAGTATAAATGCCTGCTTGAAAAGATAGTGGATGTTTGCATGGCTGGTAAAAACTAGAGGTGCACTGACTGGAGTTTCCTTGCTACTCCCAACAATTAAAAAGCCTGACCCCGCCAGCCCGGATTGTGGCTGATATTTTTTTGTTTTGTTTTGGGGTTTTTTTGTTAATAACTGACACGGTCAGAGCTGTTGGAAAATTTGCTAAACAAAAGTGATAAAGTTGACTATCATTACCCACACACAGACCTGGTCCAGTAGGCGGATCAATCAGTCAGCTCTCTCTCACTGCAGAGCAAAAACGGACAGTGGCCGATTTTCAGACCTTTGCAAAGATAGATAAGATTGGTGGATACAATCGTTCTCATATGCAACCATTGGCCAATTATCGATAACCCAAAGCTAAGGGAGTCAGTACCAGCCATGGTGAAAACATAAAATTTTTTTATTTTTTTTTAACCAGCCATTCTGGGTGATTGAATAACAAAAAAATATTATTTTCCCTCCTGGTGTAAATGCTTGAAAAGGCTAAATCCCATTGCGAGTGCGGCATAGATTATGCTCTTTATCAACTTCAGATAATAGTGTCAACCTCTTCTGTCTCATCCTTCAAATACCTTCGAGTCTAGAAAAGAGGGGACATGCTGAGCTGCTAAGTGTAGCAAATGTGTACACTTGTGAAAGCGGGGCAGCATTTTGTCAAACTGAGATCAATTAATTCTTATATCTTTAAGGGATTTCAGACAGGTGTGCATTTGACAAAATGATACTGTCAGTGACGGACAATGGCAAATTATCAAATAGATTCTCCCTCCTTGAGATGCAAATCTCAATAAGACCCTGGTGGTCAAGTCCACAGGCCCATGGAGTAACTGCCACTGCCATGGGAACGGTTTATGACATGAAAAACAAGGGAAACATTCCCTTGTAATGACTCATTTGTACATAAGTGTGTGCCTGTGTGTGCTTTGTGCCACACACACTAAAACACACACACTATATAGCTAGTAATCACTAGCTAGGCAGCGCACAGCTCAGGGAAAGCCCTAAGCAGGGTTGTAAAACACCCCCTCCACATCACCATGCTTAAATGGAGGCCCCTGTGTGGGTGGGACACAGAGGTAACCAAGTGTATGTGCCAGTGTGTGTTTGCACTTTCGTGTATGTGTTCAGGTTGCTGAGGAAAACCAAAAGGAAACTACTACAACTCTTGTACGGTAGTATTATGGCAAATCAAAAACATAAATGCACACCTTGAAAAGACACCAAACCATGTCTTTTCGCCTCTTGAAGGTTTTTCCTAACAAGAAGACTCACAGACGGAGCTTTCACAGAACACTCGCAAACGCAAGCACAACTTCTCCCACATTGAGATTGCGGTCTGGCAACCAGATATCACGTTACAAATCCCAGACTGGAGAGGTAGTCATGGTAACACCTTCCAAAATACCCCTGCCGCACAAGAGGGAAGAAAGAGTTGCTTGCACCCCTCACTCGTCTTGGTCCAGTCCCGTCTTTACACTGCCAATGGAGTGGAACCCCTGACGCAGACAGGGATACCTTCTCTGACGCACCTCGGGAATACCAGGGGCCTTCAGCTGCCCTTTGTTCTCCATCCCACTTCTTCCCTTGAAGACTTGCTGCTTTCCTTGAACTCGCTGCAACAAGGAGCATTCTTTCCTCCTGTAGCCTCTGACACAATTCTAATAAACAGTGTTAATTGCTTCTCCCTCTATATGGTAGGCGCCTCTCTCCCCATGATACCTTCTTGGTCTGACTGGCTTGACTGACCAATCTCTACCTCCTTCACCGGTAGACAGTGGAAGTTTAGAAACAACAAAGAAAGCAAACAGCTTTTTTAATTTGTTTGCTCTCTGTATGGAGCAACCAAATTAGTCTGTAAAAAATACTTGGCTACATTTTTCTTCCTTAAAGAAAAAAAAAAAGATGTTAGACAGCATTGTTAATTCGGTGAAATACCACTAATCTTGATTGCATAATAAGTTTTGGCAAAGAGATAATCAACGCTGCTAATAGAGGATCCTTAAGTTAGGCAGACTGCGAACTGTATGTGCATGTCTGGAGGAAGCATGGTGTGTTCTGGAACAGCTGGAGGCCAGAGTGCTGCAGCAGCAGATTGTCAGATAAGCAGCTGTGTGTGTGCACAGAAAAAGGAGGACCAGGCATGAGAACCAATACCGCAATTGGCCGCTGAAAAACACTCCTGCGGCTGCATTTCAATAGAAAATTGCGCACATAAGATGAAACTGCTAATCACTGTTAAATGTCGTTTAAACAGAATCGATTTGACTTTATGCTTCCCAAAACACTCTTTCTGTAAACCTTGCAAACCCTGAATGGAAGAAATGATTTTAACTCTATGAAACATTTTTTTAAGAAAAATGGGATGGCTCAAAATGCAACAGCTGATTTTCAAGTTCTTTATTCTGTTTTCTGACAAATTACTACAGAAAGCAGGCTCAATTCAATTTCTAAATATTGTAAATTGTTTTCAAGACATATAAATTAATTGTTCTTTCTATTTATGATTAGATTTAAAGGTCAGTACAGTATTTGGTAGACAATAGGTTTTTGTGCAAATAGCTAGGAAAGCTCACCAAATTGTATCCTCGTGCGAATTACTCCAACTGGGACGTTATAGATCTTCTCCAAGTAGTTCTTCACATCATATTTGGTCATGCTGTTAAAAAAAAACCAGGAAAAAGAAAATAGATCAAAGCAAAGGTCATAAGATGTCAACAGTATCACAATTTAAATGCCACGAAGAGCCATCTCAATACTTGTGTGCTGCGACTTCACATTCAGGTATGACACTTCATCATCTAACACCACATTCACTTAATCGACCTTAATATGGGAATAATGTAGCCCATTTCCAAACTGCATTACAATAATCTCTGCAGTTGTATCATGTGCTGTAAAGGGACAAGACACTCATATGAAAACCCATTCAGCTCCTACTGAATGGACCATAAAGTGGGGAGAGGAGAAATGTGAGTGTCAGTGTTCATCCAATTAACTGTCTAGGAGTATTGATCGTGCCCAGTGAAATTCTACACAGGAAGTGGACCTGGCACCAACTGATCTGGCGGGCTGGCCTAGCTCAAGGTAGCCCACTGGGTACCACTGGGAACAGATTCCTCTGCCCAGAGGAAGAAAGGCTTTTAACTGCTAATCAATCTAGTCAATTGAATTAGCTCAGTAGAAAGCCCTTCTCAAATGCGTCAGACAAAGTGCTTAATAGCGACGCTGTGGTCTGACAAAAGGAGCTTCGGATGTGGTGTCTTCTATCACCTCATATGTTCCTTTGACAGACAGTAATTTTCACTGTTTGTAAAGTAAACAGCTCGACACCTTGAGTATTTAGTAACAATATAAGATGAAGCAAAGATCTGCCTGAGAAAAATCCCATCTGTGAAAACAAAGACTCTTTGTACCAAAGAGTGATGTAATATTTGTTTTCATGTTGTAACTAACAACTTCTGTACCTCCAAAAAAAGCTCAACTTTGGCAAAGCTCACAGTAATGAAGAAAGATAATGTTTGCATTTTGGGAGTATGGAAAAAGGTAGACTCACCTTTAAAATGATTACATGTTTCCATATTTGATTATATAAATTCACAATAACTTTTTCATTTTTTTCTTTCATTTGATAAAGAATGAGTTGTTAATTAAGGTTTCTGAGTTAACGATGATTTGAGACAACTGAGGGTGTTTAGTGAATGATACACGAGAACTCCACAGCTCTACAAGTTGTATTAAATCAATGGTAGTAATATTTACGTCTTTGCCAGTCAGATACAATTGTTCTGTCAACAATCTGAAGCAACAAAGATGCACCTCAACATTTGGCAATCTGAAACCAAAATATATTCACCATAAACGATATTGAAAATGGTCAATTCTTTGGCTATATCAGTATTGTTAGTGTTTTCAGTCCACTAATCATCCCCTACAACTAAAAGTTTCATACCAGGCCTCGTAAATTAGAAATGTTACAAATTTATATAGCAAATCTATCTAGTATCAATCATATTAACTACTCAAAGTATTTTACTCTGAAATCTAACCTATTAACTCCAACAATCTCAGCATTTTCAAGGTTTCATGAAATTAAACATGATGCCTTGAAATCAGTATACTATGTTTATAGATACCATCATAAAAGCTGAAGTCTGTAAAACTTATAAATAAACAGACTATGTTGTCAGTGTACGTTTTATTGTGCCCAAATTCACAGAATCTTAGAATGTTTTGTCTTTTAGGGTTAGGGTAGATGCTTGTAGGAGAGCACCCATTGGACCTTTTTTTTATGCCAATTTTGAACGAAGGATCCCAAGATGTAACACACAGATGAGCCTTTCTGCTCCATTTGCACCCACCTCTCCCAATAACCACCGTCTCACAGAGAGTGTGCCAGAGAGAAGCAAAGCAGAGCGGAGTGACCAGGGGTACTCGAGTCCATGAGAGCTGGAAAGAGTAATTGCTTAGAGAGGTGGGTTTTCCTAGAAAGCAGGGTCGGGGAACTGGAGGAGAGGGAAGTAGCTTGAGGTCTGTTGAGTCTCATGTGGATCATTAGCAGGACGAACACTGATCCTGATTAATGAGAAGAACGTTTTCTAAATAAGCAGTGCTTTTAACACTTCAGATATCCAGCCACCACAAACCAACAGATGGTACACATGAGGTCTTGGCACAGTCATGTCTTTTACTATGCTTGTAGTTAATGAATAGGTACTTGACATAGCTCAGGAACTGAAAAAAAAAAAAAAACATCAAGAAACATCATCTTAAATAGCTGCCAGCTAACAAGATTTTTTTGGGAAAAAGCTTTGCATCTTCTCTCAAAGAAAGAAGGGGAAAATGTGATCCTTACCCCCTTCTCCCTTGGAGAGCAAAGCTAAAAGCTTTTATTCTTAACATATAAAGAAAACTATTTGCAGACATCAACATATTTTTTACAAGCAAGAAACTTCCTCCATGTTGGGAATGCCTTTCTTTACTGTCTGTGAAATATAAAGTGTTAGTCCATGTAAGAAAAAGCATGGATTGAAATGAAAACAGACATGAGGATAAAGATACATGGAACCCCTACATTTGTGTTTTCCTCGAAATGGATTAAATGTCCAGATGTAAATCAAAACTAGCTGTTAACAGATGATGATTCCCAGGCAGATTTCAAAGCATTCTGTTCCCTCTCTCCTAATGTATAAAGAAGGTTACATTAAGTCCATCTACAATAAGACAACTACTCCAAACATTCAGGTATATAGTCATACAGTTAAACAATTATTCTCTGTAATGACAAGACCAGGGAGTTATAAAAACAAACTAAGAGGCCCCAACATAGTCAGTGAAACTTAGTAAAAGTTGAATTTTAGAACAGCAAATCATAGATGGGGTCAAAGAAAAGGTCTACATAGTATCTTGTTAGAAAACATGCAACATTTTTTTTCCATTTGTATCACCAAATTTGTCCTTGTAGCAACAAAGGATAAACAAGATGAACACATTTGTCTGAATAGGCAATTTAGTGAAGAACTAATTTAAAGCCCCTTTTAGCTGAGAAACCTTCTGTACCACTGAGGAATATTGATGAAGACTGCTGAAATAAAATATTAAAGTTGTTCCTGCCACTGTTTAGTTGTTGTTTTTTTAAAATGGTGTATATGCAGTTAGAAAGCACTAACTAGTGGGTCTTATTGTGTTCTGGCAAAAGTAGTTACTGTGATAAGAATAAATCATCAGAATCATGTTTGTTCGCCAAGTTTGTGAACACAAAGAAGAAAATTGACTTTCAGTGCATAAAATTTTAGCTGTCTTTTTCCTAACCCTAGAGCTTTACAACACCTGGATGGAGGAAAGATCAGCCTCAATGATCCTCTCTACAGACCTAATTGTTCATTGCAATTTGGACCTGTCCCATTTTGTGGATGAGCCAAACCACAGTGATGGATGAACACAGGACAGACTACATAATGGCAGTGTAAAAGACGAGCAGCTCCTGTGACGGCTTGTACTTTTTGTCACAGGAAGTGGAAGTCTCTGCTGGGTCTATTTCCAAAAAGTGTCTATGTTTCAGAAATGTCTCAGCACCCAAGAAAGGGTAGCTCCAATGAACCTTAAGGGAGGCACAATAGATGTAGTGTTCTTGAGAAAGGGGTGCGCAGAGACTTTAATGAAAATGAATGGTCATGTATACAAGCTTAAATGAGTTGAGTTACAGGTGGTTCTGACAGCACTACTGGATCAGATGAGCCGCTTCCTATATGTATAGACACTCATAGGCCTAATCCAGGACAGTGATAACAGTAGTGTTATCTGTGAACTTCAGTAGTTTGACCGACAGATCCACTGAGTGCAGTCATCTGTGCATAGTGTAAAACTTGTACAGGAAAAGATGCTGCTCAGTCAGGAAGCTGGTGATCCATTGACAGGTGGAGGCTGGGATTGGGAGGTAGGTGACGTTGTGGAGAAAGATGTCTGGGTTACTGGAGTCAAAAACCATGCTGAAGTCCACAAAGAGTATACCAGAGTATGTCTCATGTCCCTTTCTAAATCTTCTGATGTTAAAAGAGCCTATTCACTTCTTCATCAGAGACCATAAGTTCAGGAAGGGGGTCTGAGGAGAGTAGAGTGTCTGGTATAAAGAGAGGTCCTGTCTCAGAGTGATACGTAGTTGAATTGGTAGGAGGTATTAATGGCTGCCTTCCAAAGTTTTACCCTACTGATGATGTGTCGTTGCAATAGTAATCCTGTTAAGGTCGTTTGCCAGATGAGGACAGTTTCAGCAATTCTATTCAGGTCTGTGGCTGGAGCTTCAGAAACACTTCAATAGATGCAGTCAAAACTGCTTTGACTGCTCCATCAACTTCCTGACAGGATTAGAGGTCTTCAGTTTCTGCCTATAGGTTGGAATGAGATGAAGCAGACCATGATCAAAAACTCCCAAAGTGACAGCCTGATATCCATCTTTCAAAGCCATGTTGCAGTAATCCGGTGTGTTTTTGAATCTCTGTAGGGGCACAATATGTGCTATCTGTATTTTGGAAGCATATTGTAAAGATTTGCACTGTAAAAATCCCCAAGAACAATGACAAGAGAGTCTGGGTGCTTTTCCTCAAATTGAGTTAATGAGCTGTTGTTCAACTTCTGATCTGCAGGCTTGCAAAGTTGCATCTTTATGTGTAATCTAACTAATTTAGAAAAGTGAACATTTTTTTTTTTTTTTTTTACCAACATTTGGTAAAAAATGTTGGTAAAAAACTTGTTGGTAATGACAAATTATTAATGGAGTTGTTTAAAAGTTCTTTATGTTCCTCTTCATCCTCATTGCAAGAAATACCCCAAAGTATTATGATAAAACTCCCAAGTCTATATTGCTCATTGCTACTTTGTATTCTAATTCATGTAGATGATTACAACAGGCAATGTTTTATCAGAAAACCTTTTTCTCATAAACTTCTATCAATTTAAGCCACTCATCTTGGCTACAAACTGGAATGTAGTCTGGAAAAAGCCCTGGGCTGAAAGTAAAGGAGAAAATGTCAAATTTCAACTGTACATAAACAAGGCTAAACTTAGACAAAGGGTGTGGTGTCCCTAAAAATGATGCAGGCAACATCTGATCATCATCCCAGGATAAACATCCACCCGACTCCACAAGCTAACCTTTCACAC